CAACTTGTAAACAAATAATGAAACCCCTAAAATAAAGATTATATTGGGATTGCGGAATGCGGAAAGAAAGGGCAATAAGAGGATTTTTAGTGAGGATCGAAATATTGCTGCTCCCAAAATTATTCAAATAAATGGCCTCTCAGAGGGAGGTAAAATTCCAGTCAAGAGTCCACTGCAAAGCCCTTCTCATTGAAAACTCATCATCCTACCGGCTTAGGAAGTTCTGGTAGCCTTATAACTTTGCCATCGAGAACGAGCGACACCGCAACCACACGGGAAACGATTCGACGTCGTCGTTCTAGTCCAGTCGGCTTCTGTTCAGATCCGGGTGATATCTCCACTGCTGGTTCCATTTCTTCACCAATATTGGCGAAAGACGCATAGTAGACTCGCGCACGGTCTGCAACAGCCTTCATTAGGTAACCCTCTAACCGTGTTATCAGACCGATCTGTACGTAGCATATAATTTAACCATGACAGACATTGTCAGCGTTAAATACAGATGCTCAAGTGCTCACAGTCACAAAGACACTTAGCAGACGATGACGCACCCAATCCTGTCATTTCAAGAGCTTCCCGTGGAACATCAACGCTATCCACGTTATTTTCACCCGCCCAAAGGGCCATTGAAGGAAACAGGAAGTAATTCGATGGTTGCGAAGAAGTCTAAAAAGTGTAAAACCTAAGCAATGAAAGGTGATTTAACGAAAATTCGTGAACTCAACCCACCCGAATGCTTTCGCTCATCTCTGTCATCACCAACGGTTGCACATAGTTCTCAGACGAATAGACAGTTGTTGAGGAGGAGGTCATGGCTCGTTCAACACCATTCAAAAGTCTTGTGGCAAAAGTTTGACGCTTCACTGACGGCCAGTTCTGCCACATTTCCTTCGCTCGAAGGGCATTATGAACGACGTTCACAATGAGCTGCAAAACAAACATTTTTCTCGAAGGTGGTAGCTTTTACAGGGAAGTAATTGATGATGTGAGACCTACGAGATTTACTCACCTGGTTCACCAACTTCTGACTACTTTTTGCCCACACTTCTCTGCCAACAACATCTTGAACGATGTCAAGAATGTTTAGAAGTTTTGGCAAATCGCCCGCTACCATGGGTCTTCGGGTATCAGACGTCATCGCTCGAAGAAGCTAAAATATTGGCATGATAACGAGAAGGCCCGAAGAGCTCTATGAACGCCGCAACGCTCTTACCTCCGGAATTCCGCTTGCATCCTGATCTTTTATCGTCTCTTCGAGAGCATCCTGCCGTTGAATGGTCCAATCACTGCGACACTCCACTGTATTCGGACCAGGTTCTGACCACAGCCCCTCGGCAGTACATTTCCACGAGGACGTGCCTTGAAAGGGCAGGATTAGAAGGGGTTCTCTGTTCCGGAATATTTCACTTGGGAGCCTAATAACTCAAAAGTATTAGATGTCGGAAGCTTCCCGTCAATGGTAGAAAAGGTAGAGAAGTCACTGTACCTCTCGTGCCTTCGGGACACGGCCGGTTCACCGTCGTTCCAGAGATGGTCGCAGGCCATTCGATTCCTCTTCTCGAAGTTGCTGCACACGTTAATGGTGCAGATTTTGCGCTCATACTGAAACCAGAGGTACTCAGAATCTTAATGAACGGGCGGGCCTCCCGAGGTGCTACTTACTCTTCTTTAACATCATCCTCCACCTCTGTTGTGGTGGATGTAGTGGTAGTGGTGGTGGTTGTTGTCGTAGTGGTTGTTGTGGTGGTCACTAAAATCAGCATCCTTCAGAAGCAGCAGTCTTCAGAATCATACCAGCATGCTATACAACACTTTCTTACCATCCGCGACACACAAATACGTCACTTCAAGGTATTTCTTCACTCCTGGGCATGGATCATGTACGAAGAAGTCGTTACCAACCACAAAATGACATTCACGACGTCCATCACAACTAAAACACAGCACAACGATAAAAAAAGCGGCTTCAGAAGATGTCGACGTTGAAATTTTCTATCCGTTCCGTATGTCACATCACCGTTTCTACTGCACACCACAACACAAGCGCCAAGTTTTAAAGTTATGAAGCGCATTCAGGCAGGCAGTAACCACCTGGAGTGCAGTGAAACGTTGCTTCGAGGTATTTACTCGTTTCAGGGCATGGATCGTCGAACATATAACCGTCAACCATAAATTCGCATCGACGTAAACCTTCACATCTGAAGAGATCACATC